TTTTTCTTGGGGATGATTTTGATCACTGCCTCCTGTACAATGTTATGAACCTCCACCCATAGTTCTTCAGGCACTCTGTCTGTAGATCTAATCCCTTGAATCCATTTCTCACTTTCACTGTATAATCATAAGGGATTTGTTGTAGGTCATACCTGAATGGCGTAGTGGTTTTCCCTACTTTCTTCAATTTAAGTCTGAATTTGGCAATAAAGAGTTCATGATCTAAGCCACAGTCAGCTCCTGGTCTTGTTTTTGCTGACTGTATAGAGCTTCTCCATCTTTGGCTGCAAAGAATATGATCAATCTGTTTTCAGTATTGATTATCTGGTGATGTCCATGTGTAGAGTCTTCTCTTGTTTTGTTGGAAGAGGGTGTTTGCTATAACCAGTGCATTCTCTTGGCAAAACTCTGTTAGACTTTGCCCTGCTTTATTTTTTACTCCAAGGCCAAACTTGTTACTCCAGGTATCTCTTGACTTCCTACTTTTGCATTCCAGTCCCCTATGATGAAAAGAGCTTTTTTTGGTGTTAGTGCAGAAGGTCTTGTAGGTTTTCGTAGAACCGTTCAACTTCATCTTCTTGGCATTTGTGGTTGGGCCATTTCTTGGATTACTGTGACACTGAATGGTTTGCCTTGGAAATGAACCAAGATCATTCTGTTGTTTTTGAGACTGCACCCAAGTACTACATTTTGGACTCTTTTTGTTGACAAGAGGGCTACTCCATTTTGTCTAAGGGATTCTTGCCTTAGACATATCTTAGTAATAGATCTTATTACTTATATCTTAGTAATAGATACAATGGTCATGTGAATTAAATGTGCATATTTCCATCCATTTTAGTTCATCGCTTCCTGATATGTCACGTTCACTCTTGGGGTGGTTGACAGTGGGCTTGGTTGACCACTTCCAATTTACATTGATTCATGGACCTAGCATTCCAGTCCTGTGCAATATTGTTCTTTACAGCATTGGATTTTACATACCACCAGATACATCCACAACTAGGTGTCATTTCCTCTTTGGTTCAGCCTCTTTATTCCTTCTGTAGCTATTTCTCTGCTCTTCCGCAGTAGCATATTGGACATCTGCTAACCTAGGAAGTTCATCTTTCAGTCTCATATCATTTTGTCTTTTCATACTGTTCATAGGGTTTTCAAGGAAAGAAGGCTGAAATGGTTTGCCATTTCCTTCTCAAGTGGACCATGTTTTGTCAGAAATCTCCACCTTTCCAAAGATGGTGTAGTAGAAGGATATGCCCTCATCCTGTCCTGTGAGTGTTTTTGGAGTCTCTGGCAGAGGTGTGGGTCAACAGTGGCCTGCTGTGGGGTTAGGGACATTGCCAGCAGCCATCCTGGGACGGCATGGCATGGTGGCATAAGTCTTTTTGGAGGCAGTTATGCAGTCTCCTTTTCAATACTTGAACTACATTTTTAACTAACCATTATTCCAGTTCCTAAATCTTCTTTTTTGCTATGTCTTATCTGTTTTCAAACATATCTACTGAATTCTTAATTTTGGTAATTTATTTCTGTTTTAAAATTGACATTCAACTCTTTATAGAATCTAGTTCTCTCATTGTGTCATTTATTTCCTTGAACATATCATAGTTACTTTAAAATCCATGTCCAACAATTCCAATATGTGGGTCACATATGGATTTGTTCCTTTTTGTTGTTTGTTTTTGGTCATTTGGTCTTGTCTCTTGGCTTACCTGATCATTTTTGAGGGAATACTGGACAATCGATACATGTAGAATAGTGCAGACATGTTGGATGATATTATGTTCCTCTCGAGAAGATATGATTTTTTTTCTGGCTGGTAGTAGTTGCAGATACTTAATACAGTTAGGACTGAGATAGTTCAGGCTAGGTTTCTGAGGACTGGTCTGTTTCGTTTGCTTTTATTTCCAGTGTTCAGAGTATTCAGCTGAAGACTTTATTTACCTAGACCCCCCCTCAGCTTTGTGAATCTGCTGAAAGCTCTGCCTCTTAGCAGCTACTTTCTCCTGCATGTCTTGCCCCTGAGCTTCTTAGGATTCAGCAAGTGCCTCAGGTTAAAACCCATTCAGAATCTCAGACTTACTTTTCTTTTGTTCCCTTTTCTCTGGAGAATTTGCCCCTTGAGTCCTGGCTGCTTTTGTAGCTCTAGGTTTTTGCTTTCCAAACCCAGTGAAACTGTTGCAAACTCTGGCCACAACACTCTGCTTCTGCCAATGCCCCAGAGGAAAATGCAGTGGGAAGTGCTTGCTCATCTCCATGTATTTGCCTTCTTTTACGTTCTGGCCCCTCAAGTGCTGCCTACCTTTGTTCACCTTGACTGATCTCTGATATCTTCAGAAAGTTGTTTTAAAAACTTACTCAGACTTTACGTTGTTTAAATTTTGCAGTGTTCTCTATACAGCTGTTGAAGGTGGGTGATTTAGTGTGGAATAAACTTACTTCATCACAGTTGAAAGTGTGTGTTAGTTGCTCAGTTGTGTCCGACTCTTTGCGACCTCATGAACTATAGCGCGCCAGGCTCCTCCATCCATGGGATTTTCCAGGCAAGAATACTGGAGTGGGTTGCCATTTCCTTCTCCAGGGGATCTTCCTGACCCAGAGATCGAACCCCAGTCTCCCACACTGCAGGCAGACGCTTTACCGTCTAAGCCACCAGGGAATCCCACCACAGTTGAAAGCTGAGGTCTCAGTCTTGAGTTTTTTTATCATGATCACATTTTTCCCCTCGATATTCTATTTGGTTGTTTTTCAAATCAGCATTATCTTTTTTTTTTGGATAGTATTCTGTTTCTGTTTCATGTTTTTTGTTCTTTATTGTTTTAATCATTTGAAATACATTCATTTTATAGTTTGTATCCTATTAAGTTATCTGAAATTCTCAGGGGTTTAATTTTATTATGTATTATCTGCTGACTCAGTTTGCATTTGCTTCTGCCAGATGCCCCAAGAGATTATGAACAGCAGAGAACCAACTTTTATGTTAATTTCTTGGGTTGGGATGGCTTAAAGCCATAGAGCATATCTGAATTCCAAATGTAAGTGAGCAGACACATGGTTAAAAAATACGAAGGGAGATATTTTTTTCCTCCACTCAAAGTTCAGATCTGTACAGATAAGCTTGTGATTTTGTTTACTTGTGAATGACTGTTTCTTGGATTATATTTTCTCTTAAGATATGGACCACATATGGGATTCAGACTCTATACATTTCTGTTAGTTCCGACTCTCCATGTTACGTGGGCTCCAGGTCTTGGCTCCTGTGGGTCCTGAGTCCCTTGGGCTGCTGAGAAATCAGCACCTATTGCTGCCTCTGCTTTTTGGTTTTCTTTGTGCCTGATCCTCAAGGATTTGCCTCATTTTCTTGTGGACTCAGCTGTTTATATATGAAGACACTCATATACTTTATTCAGCATTTTTAGGTGTTTTTTTTAGACAAAGGTTTTCTAGTTGTCTAGTTTTCATAATTTCAGAAATGAAATTTTCACTGACATAATTTACATTGCTTGTTTGCTTAAATGTTAGCTATTGTTAAATACCATCATCAACATTTTTTCTGCATGTATGTAAAATGTGAACAATTGGATTATAATATTTAATATATATAGTATATTATGAATATATAAGATATATATACCATGTAATACATTTTATATAGTATATAATAGATTATAAAGCTTTATGATAACTACTCTGGGAGCTGGCTGTAAAAGCATGATAAAATCTGGCCTATTGAAATAGTTGGAAGTACATCACACTTCTCTTAACTACGTGTTTCCCTGTATCTGTTTTGAAACTTTGATTTTCTCAGTGAGATTAAATAATGTTGTGGCTTTGAAGCTTTCAAACATTGAAAGATATATTTCCGGGAATGTATATTTATGTGTGAATCACTTCACATTCATTCATATGTTACTTATATTTGGATTTTAAAATTTTATATTTGCATTAATTTGAATATCCTTTTATTCCTTCTGTAGGAAGATACTTCATCGAGATTTGAAATCAAAGAATATATTTCTGAAAAATAATAAGCTTAAAATTGGTAAGATTTTAAAATATGTATTCCATGAAAGAGTATATTCTAGATTTTATTATTATATATCAAATTGCAATATAAAGTAACTAAAAATGGTAGAATAATCATTGGTTTATTCAAACTTCTTAAATTTTTGTGCTTGATTGGTTGTGCCCAACAACAGCAATAGCAAAAAGACCAATTATTTCTGATTCTGATAGAAACTGAGGTATAAAACATTTGCTATTTATTAGTAGATCCAACAAATGTCTTTTGAGTTCCTATTCCATGCCAAGCACTAACCATTAACAAATGATTAGACTTGTTTTACTAGTTTGATTACTATAGGTTTCCTACTCCCGTGTTTATTTTATCATAAGCAATTAGGAGTTATCACAGATTATTAAAGTGTTGATATAGCGAGTTCTCCTTTAGAACTGTATCTATACTCCTAACAGTTACAGAACTGTTTGATCTTCATATAAGATGTTCTTAGAGGGGAAGACATAAAACCAACAAATTAGGCAATTATACTGAAACTGGAGGATTCAAGTTTTTATAGTCATGTTATTGAAAAGTCTCAGGTTTTTTATTTAAAATTTCTTCTTTGTTGTAAATTAAGAACAGATTCCCCCCTCACTCAGATAAAATTGCAAATCATATATTCAGTGCTTCCAGAATCGTTCTGTTTGTTGTTAATCAGGCTTGAAATATCTTTTTGTTTCAAGTTGTTGGTTTTCCCTAATACCAGGAAAAAAAGCAGTTTTAGCTTACATAATTCACTTTCCTATCATCAAACTTCTTTTTATAAGGCTTTTATTTTTAAAGCTTTTCACCAATATTACATAATTTAAAATGTATAACTTTTTCTTCAACATGGTATGAATGATTGTGTATTAAAATTGTCAAATTAGGCACTCTGTTGTTAATTTCCAGTATAGTACTGGTTTTCATGTTTTAAGTATTCATAGAAGTTAATTATTATTTCAAGGGGATTTTGGAGTTTCTCGACTCCTAATGGGATCCTGTGATCTAGCCACCACTTTAACTGGAACTCCCCATTATATGAGCCCGGAGGCTCTGAAACACCAAGGCTACGACACAAAGTCGGATATCTGGTGAGTGGGCATGGGCCAGTCCAGGCACCTTATTCATTTTGCTACCTTGAGATACGGTGCATTTTATTTTTAGGCTCATTTACTTACTGCATCCACTCATTTATCCTTTTTAATGTTAGCTATTCTGTCAGTAGTGTAGAGAAGATCTTTTAGGTTGGAAATGTGATACATTCATTAAATTGATTTAAAAAATTCCCTTTATTCATAGATTAACTGGTTGATTTAGGTTTTTTCTTGTTGAGCCACAAGGGAAAGTTCCTAATGTATCATAAACATTAAATTTTGATACATTTCTGGTAGCCTATTACATAAAGTATTTGTAATTCTAATCACTCTGCTTTATTTTTTTTTTTTTTAAGGTTAACTTCCACCTCTGTGGGGAATATATAGCTTTCTTTTATTTTTTGTCTTCTTATTGCTTTTAAGAATTTTTACTAAAGGTATTAGCTTTAAGGATACTTAAATTTTAAAAATTCTGGGTTTTCAGTGATAGCTACATCTGAGATTTCTCAGCTTCTTTGAGCTCTGTTCCAAAAGAATTTCTTCTTCCTCATCATGGAACCAGTTTAAATCTCAGTACAAGAAACCAAATGGAAAATTGTATTCTGTTGTTAACAATAGATCCTATTTGGGAAAATTTCCTTTCCTTTAAAGAGGAATCTTACATAATTTTCAACTTGTTAAGGGTTGAAAGGACAATTTAGCTGAGAGCTTGTTAATCAAGTAAATAATTATTGTATGCAAATCAACTAAAGTAGTTCAGAGCTATTAGCAGTGTTAAAGATTGTGCCTGCTTCATTCTTCTAAAGAAGATAAAGTAGGGAAAAGTAAGCACAATAGGGATTACGTGTTGGGATTTTCATGAGGGTTATTACTCCTCTTTTGTTCTTATCTCTCCCAAATGGGAGAGAACATTGTTACAGTTAGATCTACCTAGGGTAGATCCCCATCCATCCTACCCTTTTAGTCACTTTTGAGATTATACATTTCTAGATTCTTCAGAACTGTTTTTTTTTTTTTCATCATTAACTGTTTTCTGCCCTGGTGGTCTTTCCCAATTCACCTATTATCTTTCCTCAATCACCGCCTTCCCCGATTCCCTCCAAAAACCAAAACCAGACAAAACCCACAAAGATATGTTATGAATGAATTTTTAAACATTTTGCTTTATTGAACATCTCTTTGCCCATGACTGTTTAATAGCCCTTAGGGTGTAAAATCAAAGGTTAATAGGATTCCTGCTCCTCAGGAGAAAATTTCTTGCTCTTTTTGGTGTACTTTTCTCCAGTTAAAGAAAAATCAATCTTGAGCTTTGGAATGAATTCAAGATACATATCTAAATCTCTCTTCATTTATTATTATGGTCGGTTAAAAATAGACAAATATAAAATTTCTTCATGATTATAGTTACATGGTATCTCAGGAAGATATTACATCATGTCATTTGAATGAAGAATAGATTGGTTTTATGAAGCTCATTATTTAAGTCTTTATAATTACATATAGCAGGAAAACTGTATGTAATTTTTGACTCCTTTTGACAAGAATCTATATTTGCTTGCCAAATCAGATGGATGTCACCTAGAAAACCGAGTCTATGGAACCCACTTTTGTTTCAGTTGTGTCTGCACTCAACTTTAAAAAAAAAAAACTGTTCCTCATGTTGTATAAAGAACCATAGGAATAACAGACAGTATTGCTATAATATCTTCGGCTTACAAAAATGATATCTGACTCAGGCAAAACTTTAAAAAGCCAACAGCTCCCAAATATAGAAATGTAGGAGAAGGTCAACTCTCCTTGCAAAGATTACTAACTACTCAGCAAATTCTAGCTAAGGATTCATCATCATCCTGACCTCAAATAACCACCATATTATGAATTATTAATTACCTTGGTTGTATCTGAATCAAATGGGCTTGTCTAGTAATGAAATGTCTATTGCTAAACCTAAAGTGTAAAGAATAACAGAGAATTATGAATTATAGTGAAGGATATAAAGTGTGATGAGTAATCTTTGGGAGACACTCCTAGAAAATTTAGATTGAATAAGGTTGAGAATTTTTCCACTGAATCTCAGTTTGTAGCATCTGTTTACTGTGGGATATTTTCTTAGGATTGGAAACACTTATGAATAATTGACAGGTGTTTAGAGTCAATGCTAATGACTGTACATATTTATTTATAATGCTTAAAGAATTGTTATTAATATAATGCTATTATTTTCATTTGTTAATGTTTGCCCATATGTAACAGTATCTTTCTTCTGCAATCTGCCTAAACCTTTTGGGATTCATTTATTTATAGCCATCAAGTACAGGAAGTCTCTTTCTTAAAAGTGAGTCAGGTTATAAAAGATTATGAACAGTTATTTAGAAAGTTAGGATAATTAGGTTCACTGAGGGCAATACTTTGAACATGACTGATTTATATAAGCTATTGCTGAACATTTTTCCCCCACAGGAAAAATATATATGAGTTGGGTTCCTAGACTAGCTCTTTAAATTGGTTTAAACTATGGATAGTGGTTGGAGAAGGAAATGGCAACCCATTCCAGTGCTCTTGCCTGGGAAACTCCATGGACAGAGGAGCCTTGTAAGCTACAGTCCATGGGGTCGCAAAGAGTCAGACAAGACTGAGCGACTTCACCTCACTTCACTTCACTTCATGGATAGTGGTAGCAGTTTAGTTGCTAAATTGTGTCCAACTCTTGCAACCCCCATGGACTATAGCCCATTAGCCTCCTCTCTCCATGGGATTTTCCAGGCAAGAATACTGGAATGGGCTGACATTTCCTTTTCCAGGGGATCTTCCTGACCCAGGATTGAACCCACATCTCCTACGTTGCAGGCAGATTCTTTACTGCTGAGTCACCAGGGAAACCATTAGAATGTGTTGTTTTTGTAGGAGAAACAATTGAAGAACAATGATCAAACTATTGGAATAAGGGTACTATAATTAAGCAGAAAGGAAACAAACTATCCATTGTTAGCCTCATTTGTCATGTTGTGAGTGGTCAACCAGATAGCCATACATTCTTTGGGTAATTTAATTGGAGGTTATGATTGTAGGGATGTAGGTGTGTCAGAGCATAATGGGGTACTCTCAAAGTTTTGTTCAGGGGTCTGATCTGATAGTTGGCTGGGTGGAGGACACTGGAGGAGTCTAGTTTACACTCAACATTAGAGTCAGGCTGTAGTGATCTCGGACAGAAATAGGCAAGGCTTAGCTTAGCTTCAGATGGAAGATGATAGAGAGGAACCAACATCTGTCTGCCCAGTCAAGACTAAGTATCTTCCCAGAAGAGCATTCCTATAGTGACCAGGGGAAGTGGGGAGGGAGGGTTTAGGAAAGGGAGCAAAAGACAAGCCTGATAGCACATTCTGTAGCTGGTGTGGGCCTCCAAGTGGCTGGCAGCCAGCAGCACCATCAACTGCCTCTCTGGGAGGAAGCTCTGGGGCAGAGAGCCCATTTTGCTCACCTGTTATGGTCTTGTCACTTCTTGTTTGGGTTCAGAGCAGGTTGTTGGGCAGCTTTACCTTCTTGGGGAATGTTCCTTCTTGGGGAGTGAGCACACCATGTGGTTTACTCAGCAGAAGCTGAGTAGGGGAACACTTCAGTTAGAGGCAGTAAATTTGAGTATTAATATGTTTTTTCAATGATGAGCATGCAATGACTGATACAAATTGTGCAGATAATGTCAGTCTAGCCTGGTGGATTTTTTAAAGAGCTTAATACCATAGCAACAAAAGAACCAGGAATAGCTACCCTCTGTAGAGTGCTTTCTCTGTGATTGACATTTAATGTGCTAAGTGCTTCACGTACTACCTATCTAGGTGTATTTGTTCCTACAAAAAAAAAAAAAAATCACACTGTATAATTTTATAACCTGCTTTTTCTCACTCAGCAAATTGTTGCTCTGTATCAACAAAATATATCTATGTATCATCTAGATGTTTGCATATTAGTCTATCCCTGAATATAATAGTTTTTTCAATCAAGGCCTTAATGATTTCTCTGAAGATGTTTTCTTTTTCTTTCTGCATTTTTACCCTGATGAATCTCAATGTGGCTTTGCATTTATCCTACCTGGGGTTAGTTAGGATTCTTGGACATGTAAATGAACTTATTTCAGATTGGATGCATGCATATGTATGGCTGAGTCCCTTAGCTGTTCACCTGAAACTGTCAGTGATCAATGCAAAGAAATAGAGGAAAACAACAGAATGGGAAAGACTAGAGATCTCTTCAAGAAAATTAGAGATACCAAGGGAATATTTCATGCAAAGATGGGCTCAATAAAGGACAGATATGGTAGGGACCTAACGGAAGCAGAAGATATTAAGAAGAGGTGGCAAGAATACACAGAACTGTACAAAAAAGATCTTCATGCCCCAGATAATTGCAATGGTGTGATCACTCACCTAGAGCCAGACATCCTGGAATATGAAGTCAAATGGGCCTTAGGAAGCATCACTATGAACAAAGCTAGTGGAGGTGATAGAATTCCAGTTGAGCTATTTCAAATCCTGAAAGATGA